CCATCTTCAGCCTTCAGGCCCATAGTATCCAGCAGACATTTTCATCAAGCAGGAAATTCCAAAGACAGTTCAGTCACTTTCTGCTGTATCCTGCAGAATGTCTCGCAGACTCTTTCATGAGTCAGGAACCCTGAAAGACCATCTCACCTTTAGGCAAGTTCAGCAGTCCTCTCTCTGCAGGTTCTTTGTGTCTAGTTTATGCATCAGTCCAGGCAAGAGCAGTTTCTTGCCCAAATGGCTATCAAACTCCATAAGGATCCTCTTCGATGCCCATCTTCCTCTCGAAGTAGATTGGTGCTGCCAAGAGCAGACGTGTCTCATTGTCATGAAAAACCCTAAGTTATTAAAATATTTTAAATGCCATATTCTGCAGCCTTTGAAAGAGATGAAGAACGCCTATCTGAAATATATCTCTATATATCTAGAAAATCTAAGTAACATGACTACAAACTTGACTATTATTTATGATTATCCATCAACAACCTATATTTCCTAATTATACATTACATTTTAAATGAACTACATAATCACAATACCTTAATCAATATCAGAAATACATATACATATAACAAAATTGACCTTAAATTTAAATCACTAAAACAAAATCCATATCAATGTAAATTATTCATATCTCTATCATATCCCCCTTTAAATGTAAAAGAAAATTTATAAACAATTTTTGGGAATATGTTATTTCTCTCCAAACTGCTTCCTGCTGAATGGGGGTGTCATTAATTAGATCATTTAGGGTGTAGCCTGTGTGCCAGGTTTATCTCAGTTGGCAGTTGAGTGAAGTAATTTTTTGAGGGTGTTCACAGGAACTTTTCCGGAGGTCATGGTCTATCATACCATATCAGGATAGATGCAATCCACAGGGTCTGGTCCTCTGTGAAAACAAAAGAAGACCCTCTCCAAAGCATCATATCCTTAGACCCAAATTTTGAAATTGTAATACCCTTATATCCATTCTGGTTTAGCTTGGCAGCCCATGTAATGAAATGTCTCTCTGTACTTAGCTCCTTTACAGTCAAAAATTTTAAAGAAAACACAATAATACAAAGAATCCAGACTCTCTGTGAATTTTCCATTTTTACATGGCTTATTTTTCTTTATTTCTTTTAATCTACAACTATCTGTACTCTGTCTCTTTAAAGACTTTACCCTTTTTTTTTAAACCATTAACTTTATCCCTATATTCTTTTTCTTCTCTCTCTCAAGCCTACGTACATTCATCCAACAGTGTGGTCTTTTATGTCTGAAGCTGTTTTATTGTGAATCTGTAACATTTTTTTACTATCCAGGAGAATTTCTTAAAAGGTTAAGCAGTTCTTAAAAACTTAAGTTGCACCATGTACAGGTAATACGGTACCGTCTGTGTCCTGCCCAGTTGAAACCTTAACTGCGCTGTTATTACAGTAATTATGGTAGTTCCTGCCAACCAGTACAGTTCAGCATGGTGGAGCCCAGCAGCTCCTGCCTCAGAGCCATTTGGTGCCCCTGAGCCACACACAGTTCCAGGCACACAGCAGTCCACATTGCCATCAAGCAAGCTGTAGAGCTTTACTCCAAATGCTCCATTCAAAAGCTCTGTCTCCCACAGGAGCCAGACAGAGATCGCAATGGCAGCACAGCCCAGAAAGCCGCCATTTTAAAACAGCCAGTTTTTTCCTGCTGCTGAGTCAGAACAATTTCTTTGCAGCATGCAACCCACCAACAGCAAAAAGCTGACTTAAATTCTCTCTCTTTCTCCTTTTTAAGCCCTCTCAGGTTTTATGTGGAGTTCGTTAGCACGTTGGGTGCCACTCTGTTGTAATAGGAGCGGCGGGCTGTGTCCCTGGCACCCGGCCGCCCGCACAGCTAGCTTTACCCGAAATAATTACACAGAAACTGTATTCTTTTAAACACTGCTTGGCCTCTTATTGGCTAGCTCTTACATATCGATCTAACCCATTTCTAATATCCCTGTAACACCACGAGGTGTCTTACTAGGGAAGATCTTAACCTGCGTCTGTGTCCGGTAGGAGAATCATGGCAACTCCCTGACTCAGCTTCTTTCTCCCAGCATTCTGTTCTGTTTACTCCACCCACCTATGTTTTAACCTATGAGGGCCAAGCAGTTTCTTTATTGCTTAACCAATGAAATCAACAGATTGATATATGACACTCCCCCATCAAGGTTCTGAAAAAGTTCTGAAACTCCCAATTCTGTTCCTATTCTGAGGCTGAGGCAGGAGGGAGGCACCTTTTTCCCTTGTTCAGTTCCACATCGCCAAAAGAAACATCCAAAGTATGCAGAAGCACACGACTGGAAACTAGAAAAGCATCTCTTCCCTGTTTAATTATGCCATTCAAGGTTAACATGTCTGGCACAGAGCACAAAGCTTCATGATTTTTCTCTAAGCATTTATGGACACATACATACATGCTGTTTATGGGAAAATGAATTCAAGGGGTCAAAATAATTTACCTATTTTCTTCTTCAACATGTTAAATAAATATTGGAGGCGGTAATGCATGCTTAACGTGTAAATTTAAAATGTTTAAGGGATATAAAAGCAGTTACCACTACTGACCCTTCCAGCTAACTAGTCCCTTTGCTGGGGACAAGCACCTCTCCTGGTTTCTTAATCATCTTTTCAGATACATTCTGTAATATGTATATTAAGCCATATAAAATTAACCTTCTAAAGTAACAAATAAAAACAAAAAAAAATTGAGAATCATATATTTGTGTGTTTGTGTATCTACATACATTTTTATTTTCATAACAGTATCATACCATATATATATATCAGTATGTACATGTGTGTGTGTGTGTATATGTGTACTGGCATTCCTAAGTATTAAACCTTGTGTGTGTGTGTGTGTGTGTGTGTGTGTACTGGCATGACTAAATATTAAACCTTGTCTGTATATAAGTACTGGCATTCCTAAATATTAAACCTTGTGTGCATGTATGTGTGTGTATGCAGGTGCGTGCATATACTAGCATTTCTAAGTATTAAACCGTGTGTGTGTGTGTGTGTGTGTGTGTGTGTGTGTGTGTACTGGCATTCCTAAATATTAACCTTGGGCCTTATACATGTTAGGCAAGTGTTCTATCACTGAGCTATAGTATAGCTCCATCTCATTTAAAAAATATATATATGTTTTGTTTTTTTCGAGACAGGGTTTCTCTGTGGTTTTGGAGCCTGTCCTGGAACTAGCTCTGTAGACCAGGCTGGTCTCGAACTCACAGAGATCCTCCTGCCTCTGCCTCCAGAGTGCTGGGATTAAAGGCGTGCGCCACCATCGCCCGGCTCATTTAAAATATTTTTAAGTCAGGGTTTAGCTAAATTGCTCAAGATGACCTTGAATTGTAACCCTTGTGCTTCTGCTCGTAAGTAGCTGGGAATTGCAGGGCTAAGTCATCAGACCTGGATTTTAGAAAGTCTTTTAAGACTACTTTACATTTTTCTGGCATACTGGAGATTGAACCCGGGGCACAGAGCTGGTGAGACAGGAACTCTGCCCCACGCCACATCCTCAGCCTTCTGACACTTTCATGATTTCGTTTGAGGAGTAGGGAAAGAATCTTCTAAGACAACTTATAATAATCACTTTTTTTTCTCATAGGAACTTTGTGGTGGGTTATTTTTTTATTATTTTATTTTATTTTGGTACCTGTCCTGGAACTAGCTCTTGTAGACCAGGCTGGCCTCAAACTCATGGAGCTCCTCCTGCCTCTGCCTCCTGAGTGCTGGGATTAAAGGCGTGAGCCACCACTGCCGGACTGTGGTATGTCACCATTTTTACGTTAAAAAAGCAAAAACAGAAAGTCAGGTGAAGGAGTGTATGTCTGGAGTCCCAGCTATTTTGAAGGTTGGGCCCAGACTTTTGACACCAAGTTGGGCAATGGAGTGTGTATATATATGTGAAGAAAGATAGAGAGAGAAGGAAAGGGGGTTGAAGGCTGAGTGTGTTCTCCCACTACATGTAATAAGTAGCAAGCTTGTGGGTTCAGATCCATTCAGCTGACATTGATGCCAATATGGTCATGTATTACACCCTCTCTGAATGTATGTGCACAACGTGTGTGCCTGGTGCCCCAAAGACAAAGAAGAAGTGTCAGAAGCGCTGATACTGGGCCAGACTGCTAGAAGCAGCCATGTGGGTGCTGGGAACTGAACCCAGGTCCTCTGTAAGGACAGCAAGTGCTTTATCTACTGGGCTATCATCTCTCCAAACCCACACTCACTCTTTTTATAGAATCTAATATCAATATAAAGCAAGTTTTTGCTCGCTTTTAGATAACACACAAGAGTGAATTTGTGTGCTTTAGGGTTGGTTAAACCAGTGTTAAAGGGACAGAGGACCTGGTTCTTTCTTACCTTGCTTCATCCCATAAACCCTAGTTAGCAAAAGACATCACCTTTTTAGTTTTGGGGGAGAGGGATGTTTTTTCAAGACAAGGTTTCTCTGTGTAAGCTTTGGCTATCCTGGAACTCACTCTTTCGACCAGTCTGGCCTCATACTCAGAGAGCTGCCTGCCTCTGGCTCCTGGGTGCTGGGATTAAAGGCGTGAGCTACCACACCCCAGTTTAGACCTCATTCTTTTTTTTTGTGTGTGAATGTAAAACATTTAGAACACTACAATATATAAAATAGCTATTATAAATGCACATAGTGTATTCTATAGCTGCCAGGTTTTTTTTTTTTTTAAGGAAAACTGTTACACTGTGGTTAAAACTTGTATCTTCAACCTTTGAAAAAGCCCACATTCTATCACAGTGATGTATGGTTAAACACTTGGATCAAGTCATAACCAGTTTTATTGCAAAAGGACCCTGTACATTTATCAATTCTAGTACCTTAATAGCTACCCAACAAGTCATTAACATACAGAAACATGCATCATGAGAAGCAAGTACTATCACCCATCCTTCTGCACATCGGCAACTTGTCACTCCTGAGCCGCAGTGCCCACAGCACTGAGATCTATGAACACTCACTCTCCCCATTCATCCTGAGTGAAAGATGGAATGACATAAGTACAAATGCAACATATTATAAACAATTTCTTACAAAAAAGTCACAAATTAAACCAAAGTATTTTACAGAATTTACGACAAAATGCCATAAAAACCGCCTCGACCTAAGCTCTCTCCCCCCGTATCCGGCGAGCCAACTGGATGTCTTTGGGCATGATGGTGACTCTCTTGGCGTGGATGGCACACAGATTGGTATCTTCAAACAACCCCACCAGGTATGCTTCACTGGCCTCCTGAAGGGCACCGATGGCCGCACTCTGAAACCGCAGGTCGGTCTTGAAGTCCTGGGCGATCTCCCTCACCAACCTCTGGAAAGGCAGCTTCTGGATGAGCAGCTCAGTCGACTTCTGGTAGCAACGGATCTCTCGCAGAGCCACGGTCCCGGGCCTGTAGCGGTGCGGCTTCTTCACCCCGCCGGTAGAGGGCACGCTTTTCCGGGCCGCCTTGGTGGCCAGTGGCTTGCCGGGCGCTTTCCCCCCGGTCGACTTCCTAGCGGTCTGCTTGGTTCGGGCCATTTTCTTTCACCCAAAGCCGGAGTCTGAGGCCAGTGCTGGGACCGCCGCGACGCTGTGAGCGCGCAAACGGGAGCCGCGATCGGCGACAGGAACAGAAGATCTACCTCCAACGAACGACCAAACCGCTCTGCGCTCTAGACCTCATTCTTAAAATAGGTCTTGTATCTCAGTCCTGTGGGTTGAATTTCCCCTTCTAATGGCTGTTTTAAGTGAATATTTGAATCATAAGCTTTGCAACTGTTTCTGGAACATGCCCTATAACTAAATACAAAACTGTTAATAATTAAATTGAATACTTAAAAAAATCCAAGTGTATCTCAAAGGAGATGAGAAAGTCCTAAGCCTAAGCCTGTTACAGTTGGGGACCAAATAAATAACAAGAAAGGGCACCTGCTCTCCAGTTCTGTGTCATCAGAGCTTCTGGGCAGTTGCAGCTCGTTGCTCCCCCACCCCTTAACTCTATGTCTATTCATAAGCTAGAGTCGATAATAATAACACAGACCCTCACTTTTCCTAGTTAGCACACTTTTGGTCTACAATTGGAACTAAGTTAAAAATGAAGAGATTAAAAAATTTTTTTTAAAGAAAAGTTTTTCCAGGCCAAAAAGTTGATCCAGTGCCGAGTCGAGTCAACATCTAAGTTTAGACTCTGATGCAGAGGCCTAGCCCTGAAGGAGGTTTTCCAAGGTTTTATAGCAGTGATTTTTAATAGCATTACTAAGATATGCAAAAGTAAATATTCACATGGATGTTCAAATGAAACATTCAAACAGTGGAGAAATGCAAGTATTTTGATCTCCGGATCTCCGCCTCCTACTCTAACAAACTCCAGACAGTGCATAGTTGAGTGTCTATGATGCTCACCGAAGCATGTCCAAGGCTCTGGAGTCATCTCCAGTACACATGTGCATACACACACTCATACACACACACACTCACACATACATGCATGCACAAACACACTCACACACACACTCATACACACATATGCATGCACACACACGCTCACTCACTCCAAATAGTTTCTCTCTCCCCCTTTCTAACATATATGTGCATATGAAGGTATGTGTGTAATTTCTTTCCCGATACAAGTGTTAGGGAATCTGATATGTAGTGAAAATGCAGCAGATACATTTCTACACCCGAGGATACTTGTATGAGGCACAAGTTTAATACTGCAACCCAAAGACCTACTACACTGATGGGGAAAATGGAATGCCAATCAGTACACCATTTTGGAGCAGAGTTGGAGAATTTAGAGAAGTCAGTGTCAGTGGGAGATTGTGGGACAGCAGCAAAGGATACAGAGGTAATGGGAGTGGTGGTGTGGGCTTCACAGGCAGTGTGAGCCGTGGTGTGGGCTTCACAGGCAGTGTGAGCCGTGGTGTGGGCTTCACAGGCAGTGTGAGCCGTGGTGTGGGCTTCAAAGGCAGTGTGAGCCGTGGTGTGGGCACAGGCTTCACAGGCAGTGTGAGCCGTGGTGTGGGCACAGGCTTCACAGGCAGTGTGAGCCGTGGTGTGGGCACAGGCTTCACAGGCAGTGTGAGCCGTGGTGAAGGCACATACTCCGCGGGCACAGAAGCTCTCACATCCAGTTCCTGCCTCAATCATGTGCAAGCCGTGTTACCTTGGGCAAGACGTTTAACTTCTCTCTGAGTCTTGGGCTTTACATTTTGGGTTTTATTACATATACATGTATATGTATCTTAACAGATTTCTTTCTTTTTTAAAAATTTTTTAAATATTTATTTATTATGTATACAATATTCTGTCTGTGTGTGTGCCTGCAGGCAGAAGAGGGCACCAGAACTCATTACAGATGGTTGTGAGCCACCATGTGGTTGCTGGGAATTGAACTCAGGATCTTTGGAAAAGCAGGCAATGCTCTTAACCTCTGAGCCATCTCTCCAGCTCCCCTTAACAGATTTCTTATTGTTATTTTTAACTTTACATATACGTATGTATGCTTGCCTGCATAACGTGTGTGTGTACCAACCATTTTCACAGTTTTAACTGTGCTGATGCATGGGGAGGAAGGGTTTGCCGTCTTCTAATGTCCTTTCCAATTTCTCTCTGCAGGGTTTTTAATTCTTGCAGGAATATCTGCCTCTTTGATTAGCTATCCTCCAAGGTGATCTGTCTGTTTTGTTTTGCTTGGTTACTACGAAGAAAATCTTTTTCAGCTTTCTTCCTCTTAAAGCTTGTTATTGACAAATAGAAAACTATTGATTTTTTAAAAGATTTATTGATTTTTTTAAAATTATGTATACAGCATTCTGTCTGCATGTATGACTGCAGGCCAGAAGAGGGCACCAGATCTCATTATAGATGGTTGTGAACCAACATGGGGTTGCTGGGAATTGAACTCAGGACCTTTGGAGGAGCAGACAGTGCCCTTAACCTCTGAGTCATCTCCCTAGCCCCTGAAAACTACTGATTTTTGATGTCCATTTTATTTAATTTATTTTTAAAGATTTATTTATTATGTATACAGTGTTCTGCCTGCATGCCAAAAGAGGGCACCAGATCCCATTATAGATGGCTATGAATCATCCTGTGGTTGCTGGGAAACTTGGGACCTCTGGAGGAAAAGCAGCCAGTGTTCCTAATCTCTGAGTCCTCTCACCAGACCCTGGATATTCATTTTATATCCAGCGACTTGGTTGGAAGTATTTCTTCAATCTGAGTTCAGATAGAGTCTTTAGGGTCTCAAGTATGGATCATATTGTCTGAAAATAGGGAAAATTTGACTGCTTCCTTTCCTGCCTGAATCCCTTTAATTTCTCTTTTCTTAGTGCCATGCCACTTAGAAGTGGATGGAGAGTGCCCCCCCCCCCCACTGCATAGAAGTGGGCTGTGCTCCTCTCACCCCCTCCCCCCCGCATAGAAGCTGCACTCCTGACTACAGGTAATGTTTTTTGTTTTTCTCCATTTAGAGTAAGATTGTTTAGATGTTTGTAGCATATAGCTTTTGCCTGCATCCCTGACTCTGAACTATGTGCTGTCCTCAGAGGTCATAAAAGGGCATTAGAGGCCCTGGAACTGGGGTTATAGAGGGTTGTGAATCACCATGTGGGTGCTGGGAATCCCTTTGTATGGAATTGGTAAATGTAAGCAAAGCACTTCCTTGAGTTCTGTGTGCTGTTCCAATGCATCTATCAAATATCACCAGTAGGAGATCCCAGGAGCCTCCACAATAGCCAGTAGGTCAAAACACAAGTCAAACAACCTGGGGACTGAGGCCTCAACTTGTGATATCTGGTATGCCCCCCCCCCCCCCCCCCCCCCCATCCTCCGGGTCTTTCTCTGTCTGAGTCAGGATCTCACTATGTAGTGTAGCCCTGGCTGACTTGTCTGGAACTCACAGAGATCAAATAGCCTCAGCTTTCCAAGTTCTGGGATTAAAGGTGTGTGTTACCCTGTCCAGATTTTAACGTACTTTGCAGAGTATCAGAACGGAATGGAAGCCATTCAGGTAGTAACTGGTGCAGAACCCAGAGAATTGTTGAGAAATTTCACACGGGTCATGACAAGCAGAGGTCACAGAGATATTTCGGGTTGTGCAAGTGTAGGAGTCTTAAGACAGCTCCTCGGGAGTTCAGTCACAAATATTAAACACTAAAGGCTGAAAATTCTGACCAGGTAGTAGAAACAGGTTGTGGTTCTCAGCTACTCTGGAGGTAGGAAAATCACTTCATGTCGTAAATTCAATGTTGGTCAACGTAACACGGTCAAATTGTTTATTTTTGAGGCAGTGTCTCTTCATAGCTCCAACTGGCCTTAAAGTCAGAAATGACCTTGAATTTACCGCCTCTACCTTCGACGCTGGGATTACAGGTGTACTCCATCACACCCAGTTTGTGCGGTGCTGAGGATAGAACCAAGCTCTCCGGCACAACCAGGCAATCCTCAGCTCCAGATCTTCTCTTAAAATCAACCAACCAACCAACCAACCAAAGCCCTTGAGAGAATTCTAGCAGTAACTGTGCCAGCCGACACTGAACACACTCCTGGCTCCCTAGCTTCCTCCTCTCTCACCCCAGCCTTCTTCACTTTGTTGTCCCGTGGTGAGATGCTCCCCACTTGACTATACAGCGCCCGGATCCCGGCCGGCGTCAGTGTGGGAGTCGCTGTGCGAGCGAGCGTGCGCACGCGTCCAGCCACACCGCTTCCATATTGTCCGCCGCGGCGCCCCGTAGCAAGCCCTTGGCCAGCTCCACGTCGGCCGCGCAGGCGCCCTGGGCGCGTTCACCTGCTGCCGTTGTCGCCGCCGCCGCCGCCGCCGCTGACGGGGCTGGATGGGGGGCCGAGGCCAGCCGGTGGCACCCAGAAAGAAGAGACGCGGCGGCGGCGACGCCGACACCCGCACGGCGAGCGCCCCGAGGTGCCCGCGAGCTCCACAGTCAGACGGCGAGGCCCGGGCCCGGCCGTCCCGCGGGTAGAGAGACTCCGACGCCGGCCCCTCGCCGCGCCATGTTCAAGAAGCTGAAGCAGAAGATCAGCGAGGAGCAGCAGCAGCTGCAGCAGGCGTCAGCCCCTGCCCAGGTACGCCGTCCTCCTGCGCCGGGCCCGGGAGGCGGGCGAAAGTTCTCCCGTGACCTCCGCCCTCCCCGCAAGCCGGAGCCGGGCATGGGTTTCGGACCGCCCTGGTGCTCCAGGAACCCTGGCCCTGGTTACTCCCGAACTCCGTCCCGGTGCCCGCCGGCGGGACCCACGGTGACATCTGGCCTTGGAGTTTCCCCCCTAAGGACCGACCCGGCCTGAGGATGGGTGCGATGGGCGCGGGTCCCGTGTGGGGACGTCCCCTCCCCCGCCCGTGCGAGAGACCCTGACTCTGGAAGTGATGGAGGGGGTTGGGCCACCCAGGTCCTCTGCGACCTGGCCGAGGTCTCCTCTGTGTCCACTGGGCACCGAGCCTGGAATGGCCAGGATCCTGATCGAGAAACGAGGGCACAGGGTCGAGCCGTCCCGGGCCAGGCTGCCTGGCGGAGCCGGAGCCGAGGGCCGCGTTCCAGCGCCCAAGGCTGTCACGAGTTAGTCACCTCGCAGAACTTGGGTGATGGCGGCCAGGACGGAGGGGCAGACGCTGC